ATAAAATGATGTGATTTCTAGGATTTCCTTCAAAATGATGGCAGACAGCAATAAATGAAACAAGATTGGTCATTCGTAGATAATTACTGAAGATGGGTGATGGGTACATATGGTTTCTAACACTACTCTATTTTTGTATGTGTTTGAAATTTCCATGTAAAAAGTTGAAAATATAAAGATCATTAAAAAATAACTCTACTCAACAAAACACCCAATTCAAAAATGGGCAGAGGACTTGAACAGACACTTCTCCGAAGAAGATATACAAATGGCCAATAAGCACATGAAAAGATGTTCAAAATCACTAATCATTAGGGTAACGCACATCAATACTGCAATAAGATACCACTTCACATCCATTAGATGACTACTATCAAAGAAACAGAACAAGTCCTGTCAAGGACATGGAGACAATGGAACTGTTGTGTACTGTTTGTGGGAATAGAAAATGGTACAGCTACTACAGAAAACAGATGGTGGTTGCTCAAAAATTTTAAAGTAGAATTACCATATGACCCAGCAATTCCACTTCTAAGTTTATACCCAAAAAAATCTAAAGTAGGGTCACGAACAGATATTTGCACACCCATGTTCATAGCAGCACTATGCACAATGACCAAAAGGTGGAGGCAACCCAAGTGTCCATCAACAGATGAATGAATAAACAAAATGTGGTAGTACACATACCATGGAATATTATTCAGCCTTAAAGAGAAAGGAAATTCTAACACATACTACAATGTGGATGAAACTTGAGGACATGATACTAAGTGAAATAAGCCAGTCACAAAAGGACAAATTCTGTACAACTTCACTTGTATGAGATAGCTGGAGTAGTCAAATTCATAGACAGATAGTAGAATGGTGCTTGCCAGGGGCTGGAGGAGGAGGGAAAAGAAAGTTAATTTTAATGGTTACAGAGTTACAGTTTTGCAAGGTGAAAAAGACAGATGTTGTACAACAATGTGAATGTACCTAATGCCACTGAACTATGTACTTAACTATGGTTAACATGGTAAATTTTATGTGTATTTTACCACAATTAAAAAAAAAAGTTTTCGGGGCCGGCCCAGTGGCGCACTGGATAAGTGTGCCGCTTGGGAAGCGCGGCGGCGCTCCCGCCCGAGGGTTCGGATCCCACATACAGACCGGTTCCCGCTCACTGGCTGAGCGAGGCACGGGAGCAACACCGAGGGTTGCAATCCCGTTGCCGGTCCCCGGTCCGGTACGGGGGCAACACTGAGGGTTGTGATCCGTTGCCGGACACGGAAAAAGACAAAAAGACAAAAAAAAAAAAAAAAGTTTTCGAAGAAATAATTTTACCCATCATCTCAATATTTTTATAAAAGCCTTCTTTGATCACTGACCATATAGGCCACAATACGGCAAATAACCTTACAAATCTTGACATGACATTCTAAGGAGCATTCTGTGATATAATTATAATGACTTTTGAATCTAAAAATATAAAACTAACCACATGAGCACTATTCACCCCTTCCTCTACCCTTCTTTGATCACTGACCATATAGGCCACAATACGGCAAATAACCTTACAAATCTTGACATAACATTCTAAGGAGCATTCTGTGATATAATTATAATGACTTTTGAATCTAAAAATATAAAACTAACCACATGAGCACTATTCACCCCTTCCTCTAGGATCATGACTTCATCTAATACTTTCACATGAATATGGATTAACCCATCAGAGATGAAATTTTCCCTGATCTATCAGAATGTTTCTCCGCAATCCAACATGGTATCATTGGCATGAATTGGCAAAATTCAAGATTTAAGCAAAGATCTATTGCAGTGAGGCAAAGAAGGTTTGGATGAACAGTAATAAACGTCCTCAGAGAAAGCAACACATGCCAGGTTTCTGAACACTGGGTATGGGCCTACCTAGACCTGTCTGAAGCAGTGCTTCCATATGTTTGGACACACAATCTGTTTCAAAATGCAAGAAGGGTAATAATAAACAACAACAACAAAAAAAAAACCACAAAAAGGAAAAAAATATATAATGCTACAGGGATCCTATGAGCCCAGCCTTTCCGTGTAGTCTGTCACTATGCTAAACTGAAGTTGTACACATATTGCACTACCAATAAAAAGACCATAAAGGCAAAACTGTGTTTGCATTTATGAATGAATCATATAATTTTTCATTATATTTACTTGGCTAGAGGAACAGCTAAATTTGATTAACCAAATCAAATAGAAGTCAAAAAGCCTTTTGTGACAACCAATTCTGCATCATACTCCTATTAAGTTGCCTGGACAATTCACCAACATTGTAGAATTCAACATTGTAGAATTCAAAAGCCTTTTAAATATGTATATTCTCACACAAAGCATTTCCACATCCAGAAATTTGTGCTAAGGCAATAGTTGAAGATATGTGTAAAAGAAACTTCAGTGAATAAAAAAAATTATAAACATTCTTAGTGACCAACAGGCAACTGATTAAATTATGGTTCAGCCATACAATTACATGCCATGCAGACATTAACAATATCTGATACAGGAATATATTCATAACACACGAAGGTAGTTCAAAAAGTTCATGGAAAAATAGAATTAAAATATAGTACATATCTTTCCATGAACTTTTTGAAAATGTCTCATATTATGTGAAAAAACACATTGTAAAATAATATTAAAATATTAACCCATTTAATTATATACCTAGATTGTGTGCCTTTGTATATATGTGCACAATACATATATATGGAAATTTGTGAATGCACATACATCGGAGAAAATGATACATGAGAACATGAGCAAAAGTGTGTAAATATGATCAAGGGCCAATGGAATTGCATGTTAGTGTGTAAAGACGTGCCTTTATATTTATATATGAGTGCATAAAAGAATATATGTGCACGTATATATATCTGCTAATGCATATGCCTATATTTGGACCATAAGCCTGTGTTTTAAGTAGCTGAGTGTATGTATATCCTCGTAATAACTACTTAGCAGCTTTGTGACCTTGAGCAAGTTTCAGAGCCTCTTTGAGTCTTGACTTTGTCATCTATACAATGAAAACAAACCCTGACTCAAGGGTTTGTAAGGATTAAATGAAAAAATGGATGTAAACCACTTAGTGCTGTGATTCGTGCATAGTAAATGCTCAATCAATATTAGCTTTCCTTATCTGTACACATGTATACTGATTTATACCTGTGTATATTTACATAGCTATAAGTCCAGAAGAATGCACATCAAAATATTTAACTGTGGTTATCTATGAGTGATAGGTTTTTGTTCTCAAAGGTTTTGTGGGTTTTTTTGGCTTTTATATTTTACAATTTTTCTTGGAAGATTTTTCCATTTTTTTTTGAAGATGATTTCTTCAAAATTATTATTTTAAAAAGAATGAAATACAAATGGTCTGTCCCTGACATACCTCAATTCTGCATAATTAAAAGCTATTAAGTACTACACCAAGGAATACATAATTTTGATACTCCAACAAATTTTTTGTATTCTAGCAGTATATCAGCATTACCTAATAGCTCAAGAAGATGGCAGTACAAAGAAAAACCACAGCCCTTTTGCTTGTTTGCCTTATCCAAGCCAGTACGAAAAGAATGAATCAGATGATAACATAGGTGATTTGCAAACATCTTGGTGACAGTTATGTGACATCTGTCATTCGCATTTTAACGAAGCAAGGAGGAACCCAGAGTCTCGTCCAAGGTCATACCAAAAAGAAAAAAAAAAACCCACCATGTGCTAGACCCCAGTGTGTAGAGATCTAAGGATTAAACTGCATTGTCACAATTCTGGGCATGTTTATGAAACCAAGAAGCTAAATTCTTAACTAGTCGTTTAGTCCGAGGCCAAGACGGGGGGAGAGGAGCGGGTAGAAGAGAAAGGATTACAACACACGACTGATGACGGCAAAACAAACCAATAACTGGCCGCACCAGGGTCAATCTACCTGCTTTAGTCGTATCGGTTTTTCTTAGTTCTAGTAGATCATCTAAGATAGGACATTTGATTTCATAAATGCAGAATTAACATTTGCATGCAAATGATACCGAAAGCAAGTGAAATATGACAAAACACAAGCAGTTATTTGCGGTTCCAACCAATATCAGTTACTACCTGGCTCAATTCCCACAAATTACGATGTGTTCGATTAATACCTCCAAAAACCCTGCTGAAGATCTCTCTCAATTTCCAGGGGAAACCCAACTACAGACAGAGAGTAAACCAAAAAGGTCTTTTCCCTGGGACCTCAATTGATAAACCATACCCAAGATGATAATGCAGTCATCCCCCATACATCTTCTCCTCAGCTGTGCTGTTAAATCTCTTCAAACGTCACTTCCAAGCGTTTAAAATACACCCAGGCACACGCCCTGCAGCCCGCGCCATAGCTCTACATTTTGGGGCAGCTAAACATTGCCTTTTCCAAATCCACCGCATACTGCAGGCTTCTCTCTCGTTTCATTTTTGACTTTTGTCTTAAAACGGAGGTGAGGGGGATGGGTTTGGACAAACAGAGTAGGCTCTGAAACCCTGAGTAATCGCATCTCACTGCAGGGAGCTGTCGGCGGCAGTAGCAGCGATCTTAATCTTTCCTCTCCGCCCAGTTTCCCTTTCCATTTCACGCTTTTTTTCTTTCTTTTTTTCCAATGACATCAAACCAAGGGTGGAAAAAGGAAAAATGAATGCCCCCAGGTCGATGCCTCCTGAGACTCACGGGTTCTGACTCGGAGACCCAGCCGACCGCCCTGGGAAATGCGGAAAAACGAGGCCTGGAGGAGGTGTTTCCACCGCCCGCGGTCGTGAGGGACGGACCGGGCCCGCGGTGGCCGCGAATCCGAGCCCGGAGCCCGACCGGCCCGCCTAGGCCCAGCGAGGCCTGCCAAGCCCCGGCGTCGAGTTGAGCACGGGTCGGCCCGAAGAGGCCTGACGCGGCTGGCGGGGGAAGCAGGGCCGGGGTCCGAGGTCCAGGGCGGGACTCCGGCGCTGCTTACCTGCTGGTACCGGCTGCCGCAGGTCGGTTCGACCGCCGCCCGCGCCGCCCACGCCAACGCCA